AATGCCAACTTTTTTAGTTTTTTTAACATTTTTTAACCCTTTAAATAAATTCAACACTCCAACTGCATTTATAATTTTTGAAAACCTATTTGTTTAACCTTTTAAATAAATTCAACATTCCAACTGCAACTTGAGTGACACGTTGTCGATCATGTCTCACTAGTATGCCAGGGGCTTTACTAGGCTCTGCTATGCAAGCCATACAATGCCAACTTTTTTTTAGTTTTTTAAACATTTTTAACCTTTCAAATAAATCCAACATTCCAACTGCATTTATATTTTTTAAAAACCTATTTGTTTAACCTTTCAAATAAATTCAACATTCCAACTACAACTTGGGTGGCACATCATCGATCATGTCTCACTAGTAGGTGCATATCGTGGTGTCGTACTCATAGTGCCACGTCATGACCAACAACTTGGTATGCAGTCTTGTCCTATCAAGAGTGCCATGTCATATGCCACCGAGTGCCATGTTTTATGCCACCAAGTGCCCGATCGTGTCCAACTAGTAACTATTTCTCATAATCCATTGAGTTGGCACGTCATTGCTTATGTCTCACTAGTTAGTACTTAGTAGGTACATGTCATGGTGTCGTACTGAGTGTGCCACGTCATGACCAACAACTTCATATGTAGTCTCGTCTGTCCAGAGTGCTATGTCATGTCAAGAGTGTAGGTTGAGTTATTATGGTGCCAGTACTATGAGTCCACATGTGCAAAATATGATTGAACAAGTCACGTCATATAAGTGTACCAATACTCGTGACATGTTTTTGTGATCCTCAATGCCGCCACACGACTAGCGTGAAATGTTGAACCTCACCACCTCAAGACGGCGTCCACGTGCCCGGCGGCCACGCACCCTGTAACGACGACCGATGACCCTGAAGGCCTGAACATCGTGACATCTGACAGCCACCTCGCACGCTCCATGCACCCAACATCTAGCATGTCACATGCAGCAGTCAGGCCTCCCCTCTTATGTGCATGGCGCCTCATGTCTACAACGCTACAACTTAGGACGCAAAGAAGCAGCGCGGGCGCACACGACATCGTTCAAGCCAGCAAGCGCGATGTCGCCCGCGGCGCAGAAAGTGTGGGTGCAAGGGCCTCATCGTGGAATACGAAAACGGAGGTCCAGTACACGAATCTTCTCCCTAATTCCTATTGCTTATAGCCCAGCCCAAGATGCTTCTTTTCCTAGGACGAACGTGTCCACAGATTAATACTTTCTAGCCTAGCCGCAGCTTCTGGCCCAGCCCTCGCAACCTCCCATGGCCTTTCCTCCTCGCTGCTTTGCACTAGCGGCGCACACTCACTCTCCAAAGTTTTCCCTCAAGCAAAGAGGCACTCTCACCAAGTATGTGCATTAAGAAAGACCAAGAAAGCCCCCAGAGCCGGACACCCCACTATATATAGAGAGAGAGGCCCCAAAAATGTTGTTATTGTGCTGAAACGGCATTCTCGGACAGTCTGTATGTCCAACTACTCATTTCCTGGTAGAAATTAGCTGGTGGACTGTTGGCCTTTATAGGCACGGACTGTTTATCGTTACCTGGATAGCCCACAAACATATTGCAAAAAATCTGTTGCTTTTTCTTAGGTTGACCAGTGGACAGTCTGTTGCCTCAAGGTCAGACTGTCCACGATTACCTAGAAAATTGCATGCTGAGCGCTTCACCTCCTTAACTTCGGTCCGCCACTCCATTCCACCATGGAGGGTCTAAAGCTTTCCAAACTTAGTACCAACATGCTCAAAACTTTTTTCAAAGAAAGCTAACACGAAGAAATGATCTCCCGCAAGAAGACTGTTCAACTCACCACCAGTTATCTTTTAGCAAACTTTTCTCAAAGGTTTGAAAACGAACTTTTCTTATTGCCACTCACCACTAAATGTATCAGAATGTAAGAGCTCACAAGTGGCACTCGATAACTATAATGCAAAGAACATTTGTCCCTCTTATAAGTATAGCTGTTATCCTAAATTTGGCCATTTAAACTTGTCGGTGTTTTCGGACCACCGACGAGTAAATTTGTATTTGCGCGTCTAGCTCGGATGGTGTGCTCGGATGACACAAGGGTTTATACTGGTTCAGGTGGAACGTCCCTACGTCCAGTTCGCTACTGCTCATGTTACCGGCACTTGGTTTGCAGTAGGGGTTACAAACAGGCGAGAGAGGGAAAGAATCCCAAGTCTCTGATGGAAGGAGTGAACGAGTGCTGAGAGCTCACTTGCCGCTCAGCCGTGTGCTCATGTCATGCTCTTCTATTCTAATCTCTCCCGTGTGGGGCCCTCTACTTCCCCTTTTATAGGCGAAGGAAAAGCACGGGTTACAGAGGAAGAAAATGAGAAGAATGAGAGAGAAGAAGGCTTCTAGGGTCGTCGGGTCCTTCTTCTCCTTCATGCGGGTCCCACTATCCTGTAGATGTCAACAGGGATGGCTCCATGTCACGGCCCTATTCATCACTGGAGCCATGCATAGGCATCATCTGCTGGTCATGGCATTCCACTCTGTCCTGGTGGACGTCGTGAACTGACGTGCCTGTTAGCGTTCGTACGAGGATTAGGCAGAACAGCATCGGCACGTCCGACACTGTTCTTGATGTGAATCCCCAGGTATGGCCCATCATGGCCACGGGTTACCTCGAGGTGTGCCAGCCTATTCCCTGGCGTCAGAGTTTTGACATAGGCCCATACGCTTGGACCTGGAGTGGTTGACGGTGATATGGGTCCCCTTCAGACGAGATGGAATCCACGTCCTTGAGGTCAGGCGAGACAGAGCCCATGACCTTAGGGAGATGGAGCCCACACCCAAGGGGTTAGGCGAGATGGAGCCCACGTCCTTGGGGTCGGGCGAGACAGAGCCCGCACCCAAGGGGTTGGGTGAGACGAAGCCCGCGTCCTCTAGGTCAGGCGAGACAGAGCCCATGGCCTCGAGGTCGGGCAAGACAGAGCCTGCGGCCTCGTGGTCGGGCGAGACAAAGCCCGCACCCAAGGGGTCGGGTGAGATGGAGCCCGCACCCTAGGGGTCGGGCGAGACGGAGCCCGTGGCCTTGAGGTCGGGTGAGACAGAGCCCACGTCCTTGGGGTCGAGCGAGACCTTTTAATATGTCTCGAGCCATTCGGAGAAGTCAGCGTGGGCGCTAACTTCCTTGCTTTGGGTATCCCTAATATCGATACCTGACAAAACTTCTCTACACACCTCATGGACAGCGAAATGAAACACCATATGTTTCATACCTTTGCCTCACACAAATCCAATTTCTCTCAAATTGATGCTCGTAAGGAAAGATGTTGTCTGACATAGTCACCAGACCACTTGATATGATCACTGAGTCTTTAGCTTGATCTTCATAAGTAATTGGGACCACTCAAACCATCATATAGACTTCAGGTCCATTGACCTTAGCCTTGCTCATCCTTCTCCATTGCCTTAGTCCATTGGCGCCAAACTTTCTACTCACACTTCATGGCCTCGACTATCCATCATGACTTGAGCCTCTAGCTTGCTCTTCACCATTGCCTTGGTCCATCGGCGCCAAGCCTCTACTCGCACTTCACCGCCTCAATAGTCCATCATGTATGAGCCACCTCTAGCTTGCGCTTCACCATTGCCTTGCACATGGTCCTTCCTAGCCAAGCCTTGATTTGGCCTTCTCCTTACTATGCTTTTATTTGAGTTTTCCAACATGCTATCAATCAAGTCCATATTAGTGCCCAGCCTTTCTTTAGAATTAAACCAACTTTCCTTACACACTCAAATAGAAGGTTAGTCCACAAGCGTACTCATTAATTATCAAAACTCAAACAAAGGGCCTAGATCTTATAGTATCCCCTTTTTGGTAATTGATGACAACCACACTAAGGTGTTAAGAATAATTGAAAATGCAAGCCAACTCCATACAATGTATTTTGTGGCCTTGGACATCAGTTTTGCACCATTTATCCATAGCATGAAGAACATGGGTTAGGGTGGATAAATGCCCCAAAACTCAACTATGTAGTGAAAGCTCCCCCACATATGTGCATAAATATTTGGGTTTAATTCATTTACATATGCATAATTTTGGAAATTTTAGCAAAGTTTCCCCTACATAGTGGTAATTGAGGTGCACAAGTCATATGATATTTACCTCTGGAAGCCATAAACATAAACAATATCCTCATAATACCACAAGTATGCTAGAACCCAAAACTTCACAAGAAAATTTGTGAAACAACAATAATAGACATAAAGTACCATGCACATTACATCAATTTAATAAGCATCACAAGTTTAAGTTCTAGCCCACCAAGTACGACTTAAAGTTATTAAAATATTAAATGCAAGCATACCAAATGTATTGTCAAAAACACATAAATAAAAAAATGCAATGTCCATAAACAAGCCTTCATCCAAAGATCTTCAATTTTTCTTCACTCTCCCCTTTGTTGTCACATTGCTCAAAAGGCAACCTCATGCATCATCATCATCTCCAGGAGGTGGTGGAGGGTAGTACTATGGAGGATGAAACTATGGAGGATAGAAGGGCTGATATGGAAATTGAGCTGGAGGAGGTATAGGCCTTGGATAGACTGCGTTGTAGTGATAACTGAATGTACTAAAGTTGTTGTTCAACACATCAAAGCGCTGCTCGAGGTGAACCTACCTATCATGAAGCTGCTGGTACTACTCTTGTGTGGACAAGGTGCCAAGCTATGAACTAAGAGCATCAATATCATTATGCAGCCCCTGTTGGACACCCTGAAGGCTAAACATGATGGGCTGATATATGGTGTTGTGGAGATGCTACCCAAACTCCTGAAAGCTAGTGTCCATGTGAATCTACCACTGTTGCCCCATAGTACAAAATCCCTGATTCATCTGCTACCAAAAGCTCTCACCAAACTAAGTGAAGGTGTGGCTCCAGGTATTCTGTGTGTTCTAGAAAAATAGGCCAAAGTATCCTATAGGTGGCACCGATCCATTCATCTATGGTTGTGGCTATGGCTGTGGCTATGGCTCGGAGGACTCTTGAATTTCATCAATTTCCATGTGACCTTCCTGACCTTCATCTTGCCCCCTTTGTTCTCTCTCAGATGGCTCAGGAAAAGGAGTCAACTCTCTAGTCATAAACTCCTTATCATTGTTGAGAGGGCTGATGCGCAAATGCCAAACTCTACACTGCCCTTTGAATTTGATCTTCTAAAGTATGAAGGACATAATATAAGGAGCAAAGTAAAGCATGGTTTTCATGTTATGCTTTAGAACTACTAGCTGATTCATCATGAATTTTACCACATCAAACTTCTTGCTAAACATGATATGATGTATGACATTCCAATACTTATCCCTGATTTCACCTCCTCCTCCTCCTCCTCCTCCTCTTGGCATGAATGTTGTAACACCCTAGGTGTTAGGCTTGCATAATTTCACTTGCATTGCATGAGCATAATCATCAGGCATTCATATATGAGCTTTAACATGTGAAACATGCCTTGTTATTTTATGTTTCCTTATGTGTATGCTTATGATCATGTGTGAATAAGTGTAAGTGGTTGATGTTGGTCACTAAAACACCTTAGCTACACATAGGATGACTAATGGAACAATGTTCATGTAGATCACTTTATCTAATTAAGCTCCTAAGTGATGATGTGCTTGTTGACCTAGGAAGTATTGTATGTAACCAATGTATAAATGTGTGTGAAACCTTAGGAATACCTTTAATATGTTTAGAATGTCACTATGAACAACTTTGGTATTCATGACTAAGGATAGTTTGGTCTCTAAGTCATAGTTATAGTGTAAGTCATCTTTTTCAAGTGGTATGTTTGACCTAAGTTGAACTATAGCCTAGATTGTTTGCATGGCAGTGCACTCTTAAGCAAAGCTGTAGTACTTGACTAGAGTAACAACTTTTATTTTTGGGTCAAGGTCTAATTCGGTGCATATCATGCTCAAAAATAGCTCACAAGTAGCAAGAAAACACTGTTTGGGATTTGGAAATTTTGTCTAAGTAAAAAACGATGAATTTAGTTTGAAGTACAACACTTTAGGGCTTTGTAGATCTCAAACTGTTGAGAATTTGGGAAATCTTTCTAAACCAAATTTGTAGATCACATGTATCTCTACAACTTTCACTAATATGGTTTTCACTAACATGCCACGGATTAGGAGTATAATTGCTCAAATTTGCTCCGTCAGTCGGGTTCACAAGGGCCTGATGCCGAACTGAGCCGGCTTCAGTGGGCGACTGGGGGCAGGCTAGGCGCACCGTGTGGCAGCCGTACGCTAGTGCTGGCCTAGCCGGTCGGACTAGAGTGGGGTGTTAAGTCGTGCGACGCCAGTGCTCGCCTCACTTCACTCTTGCGTCTCGCCCTCTCGCGTACGCTAGGACAGAGCGGAGCACCACGCCGCTGTCGCCATTGCCGTGCGCTGCCACGTTCCCTTGCACTCCACCACCGCACCTTCGGCCAACACCACACACCCACCGCTCCGCCTTTGTCTCCTCCACCTCCTTGACTCACTCACACCCGCATTCGAGCTGTGGTAAGCTTCACGCCGTGTTCGCCAGCGCCGCAACTACCATGCTCACGCTCGCTGCGGCCGTGCTCCACCGAGCCATCTCGCTCGCTCCTTTCTTGCGTTAAAGATAGCCTAGAGTCATGTCTAGCGCACGTCACTGACCGCTGGCCAATGCCGACACGCCGACGCCAGAACGCGGCCTTCCACCATCGTGCTCTCACCGCCGTGGCACCATGCGTGCGGTTAAGCTCACTGGCGCCACCCCCATACCCTAACCTGCATCCATTAGCTTTGCTAGGTCACCGCATAGATGTAGCAAGCCTCACCTAAGCTTACCATGGCTGGAGCTCGTCGGAGCTCCGCCGCGCAGCTCCGCCGTCCGCCATGGCCGCCGTCGAGCCTACTCCGGCGAGCCTCCAAGCCAACCTTGTGTACCCATCACTGCGGGACGTCGAGGCGAAGCCGTCGGTGGTGACCTCACTGCCGATGACCTCACCGGCGACGAGCTAGGGCCGGTCAGCACCGCGCTCTGCTTTGGTGTGACTGACGGGTGGGCCCCGGATGTCAGTGTGTACACGCTTTGATTTTCTTATTTATTTCATAGATTTGAATGCCTGTTTCAAAAATCCATATCTCAAGCTAGGAGTGTCCAAATTTGGTAAACCAAATTTTGCTAGATTCCCCATGAAGTGTAGTATTTTATAAAAATATGAAATGCACTGTTTCTGATATTTTTCTAGGTGAATAAAATATAGCTAGATAAGCGATTTTTGAATGTTTACAATCTTGTAAAATGTGTAACTTGAGCTAGGAAAGTGATAAAATTGTGATTACAATTTTGCTAGTCTTGTGTTGACATGCTCTAGGTAGGAAAAATACTAAACTTGCAGTAAACTTGATTGAAATAGGGTATTTCTATTTATCTATTAATAAATGGTGTTTTATGAGGAAATTTATAGGGATAAAAATAAGTAACATATTACCCTAAAATTTTTTGTATAGTATTATGGCACTAGTATGAAGCTAAGAAAAATATAGATTCTATTGTTTGACACTTTTCTATAGGGTTAACTATTTTCACTAAAATAGACCTTACTAGCTTGTCATTTTTGTAAAGGATGTTATACATATCCAAATGGTATGAAATTTTTATAGTAGTCTATTGGGAGGACTTGGAAGCTACTATAATTTTATGAGAATTTATTATGCACATTTGTTATATGTTTGTTATTTCACCTAATTATCTAATTAAATTAATAAAGGCATAAAAATAAAAATTATGCTTGAATATGATGTTTTCTATGGTACTGGTGATACATATAAACTGTTTATGTTAATAGTAAGGCTTAAAAGCAATTGGTTGTATGCAACTAAGTAATTATGGCTTTATAAATCAAATAAATGGTTGCATGCATAGTTTTGGTCGAGTTGATGATTTCATGTTGATAAGGCCTTTTTTGTAAAACTTGTTAACAACAAAGTTGTAGTTAACTTACTAATCTACCTTGTGTTAAATTTTCATAGTCATAGTCCTTAGGGTTTAAGACTTTTGGTTGTTAGAAGTTTGCTGTTCGAAATGTTTACTTTCTAGACAGATTTGAATAACTGAATTGTTTGACCTAGATGACTGTTGAATCACATTAAGGTTATTAAAATAAAGTTGTAGATAATTTCATAAGCTTTTCATAATATCCACAACCATATTATTTCGATGAATATAGCTCCAGTTATGGTTAAAACAAGTAGCTATTGTCTTGTAGTCCGGTAAATAGATTACAAAAGTGTTTACTTAAGTAGTAGAGAAGAGATATGCACCTACTCAGTAAAATAAGATGCACTTGTTATTACTTTATTATCATGCTGTTGAAAGTACTTATGAGGATGCATTCATCATGTTATATCATATTACATGTGTCATGGTATATGCATTCGCGATATCTTATGCCATACTCATGCATATAGGATCGACCGAGGAGATGACGTTGTTGGAGTTCAACGAAGAAGAGGAAGGGGATCAATAGGAAACTCCTCAAGCCACAGCTATAGGAGAAGAGGAGTAGACTCTTGAAGAGCTCCCTGAGTGCCCAGATCACCGACCCACCTCTTTCCTCAAAGGCAAGCCCCGGAGCATTCAAAGTCTCCCATGTTTTACAAAATATTACTTGAGTCCTTTATGTTTGATGATTAGGTTATAAGAGTTGATTGGAAACACTTGATGCATGGAACTACCTTGTTTAGATACATATACCTTTAACCCTGTGTAGGTCTAGGATTGAATATATGCTTAGCCATGCTTAGACCGATAGAAGTCGGGTGATTCCTATCACCTGCGAGATATAGGTGGATACCGAAGCACGGTTGGCTATATTTGCTATCATGGAAAAGAACCATGGGGTAATGTAAATGGAGGCCGGGCGGGGTCTATGTGTAGGATGACTCATGTGATTCCCTTCTGTGCTGATTAAGAACCGTACCGTTATTGGCCCTTCTAACAAGATTAAACGCATGTCTATCACTTAGCTGGCCAGATAACTCGTTCCGACCGTGAAGCCGAGTAGCTCAACTCAGGCTAGGCCCTGCTCTATAAAAGTGCACACTCTGGATGGTAGTAAGGATGTGTGGGGAGCCAGGCATGAGCCCAAGGGTAGGCCAGGCCTGAACGTCCTGGCAGCTGGTTGTCCCTGATTGTGCGGCGCTGGACGAACCCGTGAAATATGGACCTGAGTTGTATCAAAGGTGACCTAAGACTACCTTGACGCAGGTATGTCTGGGTTTGTGTTAGGAATAAATTCCCAACTGATTGAAATTGATTCGAATTGCCATCTCTTCCGGATAGTGAGAAACTTGGCTAGCTCCAACATCGTAGTAATTATATTATGGAATGTGATGGTTTGGATAAACATGGAATTACTACACCGGCTATGGTTACTATTGTATGCTATTAAATGATATACCATATGTTTGGCACAGGATAATTGCTAATGTAGAGATGAATAGCTATAATTAACTTGATGACCAAAGTATACTTGTATAACTGAATTAATCGCTTTTTATGCAAAATGTTGTCAAGCTACCTCCACTTATAAAGCCTTGCATAATCCTTGGAGTCAATTTATTTCTAGTTTATGATGGGTAAGTCTAGCTGAGTACCTTCTCATACTCAGGGTTTTATTCCCATTGTTGTAGATGGTACCGTCTATCACGGCTATTGCAAGAACTGCTTCTATCCCGCCGTGGATGAGGAGTGAGCCTTGGGCAGGCATCTCTAATAATCCCTCTTATATGCTTTTGTGGATGTTGATCATGTGTTGGCACTGTATTTGAACTATGTTGGCAAAGGCTAGTTTTGAACTTTAATTTGCTTCCGCTACTATCTATCAAACTTGGTTTGTAATAACCTTATTTCGTACTCTGATTAATGAATTGTATCTATGAACTTTATGTAACATGTGACATATATGTTGAATCCTGTATGATCTTGGTTGTATGTGGATTGCTTATCGAGACATGTCGTGGTACTCAATGGACTACCGGGTTTATATGGGCTCAAGTATGACAGTGCGACCACTTGCGGGATGCCATTGTACTTGTGCTCTTATAAATTGGTCGGTTCTACGACAAATGTCACCCTAGCAATTTTGTTGATCACTGTTGGATGATGCCTCAACCCTTTTGTGCCTCCAATTCTGAATTGTATCTTAGTGCTCTCATGATCATAAAATTGTCTTCTTTGCTCCATGGGCAATGGGTCTTCCTCATCAAGATCAATAGAGTTTGCAAAGAAACCATTATCTAACCTATTTGTTGTAGCAAACTCATCAAAAGTAGCAGAATACCTTCTCTTGCCAGTCATCCACTCATTTTTT